AAAAAAAGCACTTTACATGATTTTTCCTTGTTTTGTATTTATCCCTAAATGCCAATTTAAACTTATTTTTGGCTTTGATCACAACTTTGTAGGCAATAGAAATTGTTCATCTGGTCCAAATTATATGCATTAAAAATGTGCAAAATATTTCAATGATTTTTAGATGGAAAATGCGTTTTTGGTTAAAGGGTTAAAGTGCCTGGCATTCGCAAACCATGTCATTGCCTGCATTTCAAATTTACCTTGTACATGTAAAAAACTCATGCCTTGCTCCTTGCCAAGTCTGAGTATAAATAATAAACACTGAATCTAGTGACTGTTGTCTTTACAAGCAATCATAATTGTTGGCATGTACAAACCTCTGACAGCTCATTTGATAATAATAAACACCATTACCCAGGATAGCATTAAGATCTCACTTTAATCTAGTTTTCATCAATATTGTGTCAACATACACGTGACAAAATTTAATTTCAGAGTAATTTTTTTCAAACTTGATATTTAAGAACTGAACGGGTTGTTTTTTTAAAAGATTTTATTCACACAAAATTGTTCACACAAAATTTGCCTGCTAACATTTTATTATTGAGTCTAACGACAGCTTTTAAACAGACTATTACTGTATATACAATGTATAATTCATATTGCTAACAAGCACAGTGAGAATGTCAGGAAAATAGTAATGCCTTTTTTTTCCCCATATGCAGACTTATTCTTTGATGCTTAATTGGTGATATCCAGGAGCGGCAAAAATTAAATCATTTTTTTTTGCAAGATGTGTTCTATGCAGTTTTTTTTGTAGCATATACTTTAATAATAATGATAATAATACAGTATTTGTTGTATGAGAAAGTGCGTGTCCAATATAAGCAAACGTAAAACTAAAAATTCCATTTGTATCCCAGGTCATTCATATATATACTGTAGAATACTTTATTTCAGCTGGAATTAATTTTCACTGAAAACACTTTGGGTGTTTTGTATAGAAATCATTTTCACTGATTTTTGACGAGTTAAATGTAAAATATTGAAAAAAAGATGTATTCACTGGATTTAATTTTCACTGAATCATTACTTCAGCGAAAATAGTAAAAATTAATTCTGAGTGAAAATAAACAGTAACACTTATTTTGACTATAGAATTACTGTACATCTGTAATTCACGTTACTAATAGAGAAAATATGGCACGTTTTTCTACACTCCACACTTTTACCGAGCATAACAGCGATATCAGATTTGTTGACCTATTTTTATGACCTATATGGTTACTTAGCAAATTATGACCATAATTGTACAGTGCTAGTCCTCCCATGAATTGCTGGATGACAAAGAATGATTTGACGTGTATTCCCAAAAGTAATCCATCAAAGCTCTTATTGAAAATTGTGCCAGAAAGTGCAACTGGGATAAATAATATATTGGCACATGTATGATTTGATGTTGCCAATGAACTACAATAAAGCAATAACTTAAAATTAGTACAGCAAACAGTTGAAAAGCATTTCTGTCATTCTGAAACTAGATCAGAGATGTGTAGGTACATATTTTATTCAATTTACGGTAGATACATATATTTAACATGATGGGATCTTGATCTCAGAATGGTGGCCAACAATATCTTCTGTTCTTTAATTGAAGTGTGCATTGCTAACAGCGGAGCTGTCTCAGCCAAGAGGCTGCTTGTTTTCCTAGGAATGGGCTGTCTTGTGTTTAGCTCTTAAGAAATCACTTTGAAAAAGTACCAGCTAGAATAGTTTTCCTTTTCAATGACCATTGTTTACATGAAATTCTGGATGCTCGCGACTTGGAAAGCTAGAAAGTCATTCACCACATATTTAGCATATTCCTAATGTCAGAATCTAATCAATTTATTTATTCTTTGATTTTAATTGCAGACTGAATGGGATGAACTAAATGATGACAAGAAAGCAAAGAGTTTGCACAAAAGATCTGCATCCTGGGGAAGCGCTGACCAAAGAATTATAAAAGAGGTATGTATTTAAGAATCTTTTGTTACCTCTATTGGCCTGTACTGTATTTGCTTTATTAGTAGCGCATGCACTTATATGAATAATTCAGGATATAATAATCGCTGTTATTGATTTCTATGCGTTAGATGCGCTTCTAATAGAGCAAATACGGTATAGCAATTAAAGCACTGTATGCATTGGTACAACATGTACATTAGTAATGAGAAAAAGATGAGCTTTAACTCGGTTATTATGCTCTTGGAAAGTAAGAAAGATGGAGGAATATTGGTCATGCTGTCGGCTCAAGAATAAAAACCTTTCAGCATCAATGCTTGTTATATTGATAGCTACAGTGATGTATTATTGCGTTGTTGCATAATTGAAATCTACAATCCGATATCCGGAGATGTACAGCAAGTGAATTCTGGTAAATGGTGTTCTCGCTAGATGCTACAGGCAGCTTTCAGTATTCACTTAAAATTGGATATGGTTTGGCATTCTGTTATGTGTGGGTTGAGAAACATCATTTGCCTGAGCCCACCTGGCATGGAGTGTTTTCTCAGATTATTATTTTATGGAATACGACAGTGAAATGTAATGATTCTGTGCTTGCTATAGCTCGAGGTAAAGTTGAGAATAAGTAATGAAGGTCGTACATTGCATTTTGTAAAAGTGAACAGGAGTAGGTAGGCGATTTCCCTGTTTCAAATAAGATTCAAACATATACTACAGTGGGGTGTATGCAACAATAACTATCAATTCAATAGCTAGGAATATTAGTTAAGTATTTCATCTAGATTTCAGAGAAAACGGAAATTTCTCTATATTCACAGTGGGGGTTTCTAATGCAGCAAATGCCCGCTGCCCATACATAAGCAGACAGTATTGCAGAGATTGTTCATTGCTTTGAATTGAAAATTTTAACTAGTGTCATCTCAAGTGTTGTGATTTCTCAGAAGTCTCATTAAAAGAAAAGGAAATGCATCTTCTGATGTAAGCTTATCGGTAACATCATAATCTTCTTTATATCTTGCTGATCTATGAACAAATCTGAAAAATTAATAATTGAAATTGCCAACTTAAGAAAAAAACTGATTGGTAATTGTATCATGCTGCTTTATGTTAAATATTAAACTTAAATGTCATAGTAAAGTAATAAGCCATTTATGTGTTATTAGTCCCCGTTCGGACGAAGTCCGAAAACGGGGACTTATAATTCGGTCTCCCTCCGTGCGTCCATCCAGAGTCGTATCTCAGAATCCCTTGGACCAATTCCGTTCATTTTTTGCATGTGCCTAGTACTTTATGTGGGACATATGCACATGCAGAGGTTTAGCGATTCAATTCAAAATGGCCGACTGGCAGCCATCTTGTTTTTTGAAAATGTTGTATTTTGGACATGCTTTGTCAGTTTTCATTCAAATTTGGCACATACATGTACTTTATACATGTTAGGATACATGTCCATGACGATTTATTTCGCAATTGGATCAAAGATGGTCGACTGGTGAGCATCTTGTTTGTTTTTTTATGCGGTATCTTGGACGTGCTCTGTCAGTTTTCATTCAAATTTGGCACATACATGTACTTTATACATGTTAGGATGCATGTCCATGACAATTTGTTTCAAAATCAGGTCAAGGATGGCCGATTGACAGCCATCTGACTTTTTGGCCTTACTACTTTATTTCCACATTTTATGTACCATTTTCATCCGTATTTGGCACATACATTATACATATCAGTGTTTCATAATCAGATCAAAGATGGCCGAATATCAGCTGTTTTTATTTTTTGGCCATATTACTACTACACGGAACACGTGTTTTGATGTAAATAAACAATCTGTTGTATACACTACTTGGAACTCAAGTTTCAAGGACACGCTCGTGACAACCCCTCCGCTTTAATATGACGAGCTCAAAGAGAACTTTCAAAAATTTAACGGGGACTGTGTCATTTTCAGTGACTTGTGGTTTCACATGATCTGATTGCATCATCAAATCTACCATTTTTGTTCATCCTCTTTCATAAATAGCCTTTCATAATTGTTGAAATAGTCAACAAAATCAATTTAAACATGTTTTTTTTATTAATAAATTTAGTTAATTGTATGACAGAAACAATTACCAACACCTGGATATTTTTCATTATAATTGTGTTTATGATTGAATTTGTACTAGTATGCATGTAAAATTATACTCACAGTGGGGGAGCAGACAAGACTTTTATCGTAACAATTGTTTTTGCATCTCGTACATTCAAAGCTGCCAGAAATAAAGTAATAAATTAAAATAAAAAACAAACTCTAGTAGCTCACAATTGCACTCGCCTAAAGATATGGTTTAACCTTTATATACATTGATTTATAGATATCTCTGCTGTACGGACACAGGTACCACATTCACAACTGAATTTTTTCTGTTGTATATCCTTTGGACTACAAAGGCAAATCCTGTTGGATTAAAAGTTTGGTGCATAACCAGGATCATGCTCAGTTTCCTGTCAACAGTGATATCGAATTTCCCTAATTTGTTTTAATTTCAGAAACTAAAAAATAATATACGAAAACAAGGTAGTACTCGGAATACAGCCAATAACAATAGGCAGTCACCAGTGCATGGTAACCATGCAGCAGTTCAACAGCAGCAACAGCAGTCGGCATCCACTGGATCACAGGCCATGCCAATTCCATCTCCTAGCATTCCAAAAGTTCCAAGGGCAAGGGGAAGTGTAGAAGGGCTTAATCAAGAGATTGAAAAATTGGTACTAACTGCAGTCTCAGGGAATATTGAAGATTTTGATAGGGTATGTATTTTCAATAAATGCAGCCTTTGTCATCTGATGCTTTTCAATTGTGTAGGTGAAAATGCTGCATTTGTTACATGTTGTTAATTTATTACATGTTAACTCTGGTTGCTATTGTCGTATATTAGACTCAGGAACCTGCCCCTGATGGTCACAGGGCGCCGTTACCAGGAATGAACAGGACAAGCAGTACACGTAGTGTAGACACGCAAACTCCGGCTGGTACAGATGGTTTAGAAGATGACAATAATAGCGACAGTAGTAAATCAGGTAGTCGATGCCAGTCCATATCTCCTCAGTTCCCCATTAGTTTGGATGGATCACAACCTGGCAGCAGATCCAGCTCATCTGGCAATGACAAGAGTGAAAAACAAGGTCAGTTTTATACTTTCTCCTTAGCCTTAAAATTCTCACTTTTAAAAAATAAAATCAGATGATGGTGCAACCAATCAGCGAGCCAGCCAATCAGTTATTTTAAACCGTCATGGAAATTTTGGTACATTTATGTCTTTGGATTGGTTTGCCAAATTTCGTTGCTTTGGTTATCGAGTAACCAGAATGATGAATTATTAGCCATTCCAAGTTGAACCTTCCTCATCCAGTGTGATTGCTGAGTAATGACCAATCAAGGAGTTGTTGACTTGCACATTTGTTACACCATCATAAAAAAAAAAACATAATGAAGTGAGGGTTTTCTAGGTTAACAGAGCGAGTATAGACTGGAAACCCTAAATTGTAGCGGGTAGTTGATAATATCCTACCACTTTCCTATAATTGACTGACTGACACACCTCTGTTTTTATTTTATTTTTCATTATCACCAGGCATTATTAAAATTCACTTGAAGAATCACCTTTTTGAACCTAATCTGGAAAGGACTGGTTGTCGCATTTCACACGTTTGTCTTGTCTCTTCTTGAAATGTTATAACCAGTCTTTTCGTGGATTATGTTTTTGCTGCCAGTTACAGTATTTTCTATGTTCTTTTCCTTCTTGTTGGTGGTTTCTTTTTGTTTTAAATGTTCTGTGTTCACTGTAAAGAGTTTTCTTATTTAACATCTTCACTTACTTTAAAGTTGATCTTTACAGATTCATCAAAGTGCTACATGTAGCAATTTCTGATACAATGTGAAAAGATTATGTGCACATTAAAATATTGTGGTAATGGATCCTTGTTACAGAGTTAATACATAAACCTCTGAGGATAATTTAAAACTATTAAATACCATTAGTTACATCATTAGTCAAACATTATTCAAAACTAGAACTACACCTTTTATAATTGGATGATGGAGCATGTTATTATGTGACAACTCCTTCAGGATCATTTTGAACCGATACATCACAAAAAAATAACTAAGCTCTTTACTTTTCATTCCAAAAACAGTTTTTGGCACACAAATTAGTCTTCAATTTTTTTTTTTATTAAAGGTTTTGTTGTAGTTACAACATAGCAATATTAACATTAATGGTAATTTTTGAACTTTCAACAGAAAATTACTTGTGGAGATGAAATTGTATTGATCAAACATAAAGCAATCCACTGTTCATTGCACGTTGCTCTCCAAAACATTGTCCATTATTTGGTTACCATGTTTTGTTATCAAATAAAGTGTCTGCTGTTGCTGTTAATTGCTTGTTGCTTTGATGTTTTCGATGTTCTGCATGATTCTTTTTATTTCTCGTAAATAATTTACTGCTTGACATAATGCATGTTGAATATTTATGTTGGCATTTATTGTGGTACCCGATTAAAGTAGTGTACTATTGTTGCTTGTTGCTGTTGCATGTTGTCCGTAGCTTTGTAAATGTATGTATACAATACCATCTAGAGGTATCAATGTTTTCTGAGTGTTATTTTCCTTCCCAATTTGGTGTTTCAGGTGATGCTTCACCAGAACTTCAACATATGCCAAAGTATGCATCATCGCCTAACCACAACAAGTCGTATAGGTTAACGAGGGAGCCTCCAGATGGTTGTGAGAAAGTCAAAATTGTAGACGAGTCGAAGTAAGTATACAATGGATAAGTGTTGTGAGGTGTAACAAGGACATTGTGTGTTTATTTGCACTGATGCATCATTTGTATTCACTTTCCTAAGTTGTCATTATTTTTATTTTCAGTCCATGTATTGGAGCAGCTGATAGTGTCTTTTGTCCAGATAAGAGAGTTACATTTATCCTACGACCCAGTTTGGGGTCTGCATTCTGTCCAATTTTACCCAACTACCCAGATCTGGCGGTGAAGTCACCTGCACAACAAACTACTAATTCAACTGGAATTGAAGGCCAGTAGAAGACAATCAACAGAAAAGTTAGTTTACTAACTAGCTAGCTTATAGAATACTATGCCAGTCAAATGATCCTAGGGGCATATAATATACACTCGTTTATCTTGTTGTTTAGAAATCATTACCCACATCCCTCTTGCCAATATATCTTGCACAATCCGGAAGTTAAAATCAACAACTTCTGTTTGTAGTTGCATTCTAACATCATTGAATGATCAAAAAATATTCGGTATATTTATTGGAACTATTAATTGTTGTGCATCAGTCCCAGTTTAAAATTTTTGAAATCAGATTTTTCGAAATAATTTTTTATTTGTTCGCTACTTTGATTGTGTTCATGGCAATATGCTTGTCACTGTCAGTAGCATAGGCAATGATAAATACTTATAAATTCTATTTGCAAGATTCAAGTGTACGAGATACACTCTAGGTTTTGCCATCTGAACTAGATAAAGAAAACAGATTTTATCAACTTTTTTGGCATAGTATTCATTCTGTGTGTAATATAATGTACATGTCTTTCATAAAAAATACTTTTCTATTTGTGAGATTGACGAGACGGACTGACACGCTGACACACACGCACACATGGATGGACAGACGCAGACAGAAGACTTTCCTAATTCTATGCTTTGTTACACTTCAGTTTTAGAGTTCCATACCCAGTGTATCATTTGTACAGATCCAATTTTTATTTTACTTTACTACTATACCAGAGGAAAAAGTCTAGAGTAGAGGAGAGATCTCTTGGAAAGTCCTTTATAATATTTTGTATTGAAGAATAGTTTTATTTTAAAAGCTGGAAAGTCAGCATAGCAAATTTCCAAATTAAAAAAAAAATAATAAGGAAGCGAGTTAAATTATATCTGAGTGATTTGAATGGTCAGCAACCTTTCTCAAAGACGATGAAATAATTTGAATTCCAGCAAGTGACATGGTAGAGTGTACCTTGTAAAACGAATGTGAAATGTGTATTCAAAGATACCATTTTGAATGGTACCAAACTACTTTTCAGATCAATTGATCCAAAGCACTTGTGATATTGACGGTGCTGTGACATTTTTTAGACATTCTGCAATTGACCAATGTTGGCCAGTTTACGAGTGTCTTATAAAAGTTACCTATATGATGTACTTATTGAATGATGCCAATGCAATCACATTTTGAATATTGAAAGAACCAGCTGATGACAAAGACAGTTTTTGCAATCAGACTTGACTCGGCTACTTTTGTTTTTGGTAGCTATATTGATAAAGATGAGCACTTTGCACATAGCAATAAGGAATCCAGATAATGTTAAAACAAAAACACATTGAATCCTGCTGAGCAGTTCCAGGTAGTTATTTACTAAATTAGTTTTGAGTACATAAAACTTACGGTATAGTTGATTTGTCTTAAACTATAACCACGTTATCCTAATGGTTTCACATTTACAGTTGTAGTTTGTTTCAAATGAAAAAATTATTTAAAAAAAAACAAAAAACACTGAAAAAACTGTTTTGTATAACCACATGGTATTTTGGAATATATATATATACGGTTTCATCCTTGCATGTCAAGTTTTTCAATGTGTTACGCCATAAGCCATGTTATAACATATGCGAAGGAAATGAAGCGTGTGCTGATGTTTTACGATTTCCATGTTGAATATTATGAAATGTTCCCCAGCCCCCTATATATAATATTACTCAAATTCTGATGTTAAAATATAGACATATTTATGAAATCGCATCACCATTGTTAGATATCATATTTACCAAAGTCTTTGTAATTTTACGTGCTCACTTATTTCGCCACTTTAGTTTTATTCAGATTTCAAAAGTTGCAATGTTACAGAAAACTGAAATTGTGTTCTGATTTGCTTGCATGAAACAAAACTATTTGTTGACTTTCATTCAGTACATAACGCCAGGTTTGGTTATTACACTTCAAATCTGTCATGTCTATTTTTGCTTTCAATCAAAATCTGCTTGATTGATCAATAAAGTTCAAAATAACTGCTCTTCTTTCAAGGTGTTGATATTTAATATACAATTATTTGATCTATTGTTTGAAATCTTTGACATCTTAGATATTTTTCTGGTTCTTCAATTTTTACATGGTTATTACAGTCTCCTCCTAGATCTGTTGATCTGATCTGAAGGGACAAAGACATTAGAGTTTGTCCTCTTATTGTAACAGGAAAACAAAGAAAATAACTTGTCTTTATTATTAGTAATAAAACTGTTATTATTTTCATTTCTATGTCTCTTCATTTATTGAAAATGCAGATGACCAAGTCTGAGAGCGGATATCTGAATTCCTGGTTCCCAAAGTGATGTTTGCACATTCATTGTTTGTGCACTTGTGCATATTGCGACAGATTTTGAACGTTCCAAACATGCAGAGTCGCAGTACATCGAACACCAATGTTTCCAATTCGCAACATAAAAATTCCCTTGAAATAAAGCTCCCATCTTTCAACTAACTCGTACCAGCCTCTGAAAAGTTGCAAACTATTCTGTCTTAGCAAGAATAACTAGCATGCAAATTATCTTTGGCTATAGCGTAATATTTTCATATTTTTTTGAGATTATTATGGAAGTTGAAAAAACATGTCATAATTACTCTGGGAAATGCGCGTGTACCATTTCTATTTCAGTAAATTTTTCAACTAGCTGTCTTAAATAGTTCTTCTAGCTGTCCTTGTTTGTACACACCCAAACTCTGTTATCTTTTAAAAAAAAAACGTTTCAAATATGCCTTTGACTTTTTATATTGTTGTCCAACTCTCGCCTGTTGCTACGTGGGTTACGTATGCGCAAATAGAATTACATTATGTCTGACGATAATAAAGGAATTGGGAGCTCTATATTTTTTCATAACCTGTGCATAATCTACCAAGGCGGTGCATTTAACTCAGGGATAATACGAAATCTGATTCGGACATTCCATAGGACCTTCACTTCGGACATACTGTGGGGGGAAAATGTACGTTGATAAGACCTTTATTTGGGAGCTATGATTTAAACATAATGAAAGCATATGACCAGTTGTATTTTTTTGAGTAAAGGTACTGATTGGTGTACAATAGATTGGCTCGCTGTGTGAAAAAGGAGGCCTGTGATTGGAGTATTTTCAAGCTACTAAATACAAAAATGTAGTTGCATTTTATCGCAACCTGCTTGTGATATCTACTAGGTGCCGCAAAGAGATGGGGGGGGGGGGCATTGTGTCGATGGATCGGAAGCACCTGTAAAACCTGCAGCCAAATTGTGCTTAGTATATGGGAATGGACGTCAAACAAAATGGCCAATTTTACAATGATGAAGTTAATTGAACTGAATCTTCCAATGTAATAGTTGGATGAACGATGCATTTTTTTAGCTTCAGAGTGTGCCAAATATTAACTAATGATAGTATTGTACTGATATTTTTTTTTAGACTTCTGCAATCTCAAAACACGAACTACCCCGGTAGGTTATAATACTGTAAAAGCTGACCTTTAATTTCACTATTTTGATTTGAGCATATTCAGTTTTAATTTCATGAATTTGTCAATAAAACCACTTGTTTTATTATTTTACATGTTCATATAGATTTAATTTTACTTATCAGCGAAATTAAAACCAGTGAATAATGCATATACAGACATTAATGAAGTAAAAACACTTAGCAACCCCCCCCCCCAGTTATAATCGTCAACCCCTTAAAATGACATTCAAAATCAAAATTTTTAATTCCTTGGCTCCCCAGCAACTTCAATAATGCGTCATTTCCAACCCAAGATACTGTTAAATGGTGCTGACAATGTACCTCTCAAAGGTCTTGCAGACAGTTGATATCCAGATTTGAGGCAAAAGTTTCCACTGGTTCTAGTTTATAGCAATGATATAAGCCTGATGTAATAGTTTCTGAAGGTTGTAGAAAATTGGGACGTGTTTGTATGCATGTATGTATGTATGCATGTATGTATGCATGTATGTATGTATGTATGTATATATAGATTAAAGGTTTGTTTGTTGCAGAGGTCATAGAAATCGTAATAAGGTGTTGCACATCATTCATATTGCACAAGACTGGATGCCCCCCCTCCCATTTTATTCATATTTCAAGCAGCGATAAATTAAATTCGTAATTGCAGTCGCTAAATCTTAATTGGTGACTAACTTGTAGACTGTCTTTATATAAATTTTTAAAACTAAGGAGTTGGGATTGTTTGACCATATTGAAAATTGTGGTCTGCTCAATTGTCGTTCAAACTAGGTTTGTTGTGTGCCATGTTCTATAACATCTATTAGTATCACTTCAATGTTATCTAGCTAAACTAATTATTGATGTGAATTGTTCATCTTTTAGCTATTTATTAAACTTGCCCTGACATGTACATGACAAATTTAAAGCCTAGTAAGCAATCTGAATTTGCATAGCCATTAAGATTGACTACATGTACTATATTTGTAAACTTATTAACTCCTGACAGAAAGCTAGATATTTTATTAGTAAATGTTGATCTGACAAACTATAATTCTACTCTGCTTGGAAAAACTGCCCAGAGTATCATTTATAATTCATGCATTTTTACATGCAAAACGTTGTAGCCTCCAGGCTGCTTAATCCCACTACTAGTATACAGTTCCAATGCATAATTGATTTCATAAAATGACTTTGAGATTAAATATACATTTATTTTTCAGGATGTTGAAAGGCCAGGGAATTTGTGCTGTAGGTGGTTCTCAATTTACATGCTTTTTGAATGGTTGATTGTGGAGTAAATTGGGTATAGAAGTCTGTTACTGGCACAACTAACTCATTCTCTCGTTTTTGTTTTTTTTTATAAATATTTAAAAATTATAAAGACTGTTGCAGCCAGCCAATCATTTACTCGTGTACGCAATGACAGGTCATGTGGGCAATAATGAGAATGTTCCAATGTCATTCCATTGCCAATAGAAACCTCGTCTCAGTTTGAACTGAAATTTAAACAAAAACGACAACAGGTTTATAGTCATAATACAGAAAATGCATATCTGATGTGTGCATTTTAATTAGTCTGTAAATGGCAAAAATGAAATTTTAATTTATGCCTTAGGTAAATGTGTAGCTGTTTGTCGTTCACCTTGAAATCTGCAGTTTAGTCTGTGTAAATGCACATGCACCTTTAAAATGCAATTGTAGTTTTCTGTAATTTTTGGACCAAATGGAAATGATTGCCCCATTGATCACAATTTTTGATAAAAGATGACAAATAAAGTAGACTTGGCTTTCAAAGGATGAATGAATGAATGAATGAAATGTTGATTGTGGTATGTTGCCGCTCTCGTGCGTACGAGCAATATAACTTGCTTCCTGCATAGAAAGTCTGTTTACATAAATAAAACAATTTCAGTAAATTATTAGAACTGGTACATGTAGTATGCTGTAACACAATGGGACTAACCGTGCATGCATTATATACCGTAGGAACGGTTGATTGTAATTGGTAATTTTTGAAATTTCCTTTGCTTGCACGAGTAATGCGCAAATCTTTGCGCTGTTGACTTTTGACACCACTAACCTTAACCATGGACGTACGAGAGACGTACTCTGGTACGTCCATGCCTTAACCAGACATGGTCGACCCGAGTTTGCGTCAGAGTGAATCCGTCGGCGAGGGCGCAATAACTATCGCCGACCTTGTCTGCTCTATGAAATGTGGTAGGATGCGAGTACAGACGCTAACACTAATGGGATCAGTCGTTCATCAAAAATGCAAAGAATGTTTTTTAATATTTAATAACTTTCCCATAAATCTCTATGGTTTGTCAAAGTCCCCAGGTCATATTCATTCCATTTTCACTATTGGTTAGGGCGCCCCTAGTGTTGTACTAGAGTATTCATGGTGACTGGTTTGCTTGTGGAGTTTTGTATCCGTTCATCCTCGCCAATCTCTTTGCTCTGTTGAGGACGGTAGTCGTCGCGCCGCGTCCTGTTCGATATGGGACTCATAGCGACGTATACAACGCATGTGAAATGCATTGTTTATTTACATGAAATTCGAACACGCGCTGCGCGACGACCACCGCGCTTTAAATGAAACACTATGGTATGCGCACCTGCCGTCTATCGTGGTGAGATTACATTCTTAAAAATTGAAGAACTGATAACATAGCCGTTTCTACCTCAAGATGAACTTTACATTGAAACGGGCTATACATTTAAAATTTAAGATGGGCCTTAGCAAGTAGCTTGAATATCCTGTGTTCAAGCTGAGAATACAAGATGACGTGCCTGTGAGTGTGATTATTACACTACAAGTATTTGACTTCAATAAAATATTGAAATTTTGTTGATTGGCCAGTGTCCTGGATTTTTTTTATTGTCTTTGTTATGTACCAATAAAATTTCTATAAATTTTACTCGTTTCAATAAACTATATAATATATTTAGGTAGGGTTAATAAACTAATTTAGGTGATAATGTCTCTAGTTTTCTCCCGGGAGGGTGCAATAAATATGGGGTTTTCATAATAGTGGCGCGAGATCTGCAACAATTGAGGGCGCTGTAATATACAAAATACGGTCATGAAATTTTATGTGGAACCATACGTAGCCTAGGTAAAAAAAAAGAACTCTCCAATTACATTCTGGAATATTTGTTTTCTACACTCAGCTGGACAGAATAGTTTTTGCTATCAGATTTCCTCTTCATCGTGACGATTTTTTTATTCGGCTGACAGATGCTCTCTTGATTTTCAACTACTAGTATGCAAATTTAGATTATTTGCGACGAGTTGCGCGCACTTTTAACAGAAGCATAAAAATGACGCGAGAACATGCAATAACTATCAACACAACTACTGGAGCTACCCTGAATATTCGTTTACACCGGCCTGCGCAGAAATCACCATTCGGCTAATCAGTCAGGTCATTGAAGAAAACTGGCCTAGATCGCCATTTTGAAGTCCTTAATTATAGGTCGCCCTCATAGCCCACTAATACAATTATGTTAGACTTTCGTTTTCAAAAACTTCTTGCAAAATAAGTTTTACAGATATTGTATTAATATTAAATGAAGATATTTCCGTTAAATAATACCGTACAGTAAGCTAATAGTTTCATATTTTTGTGTACATTTTATTGTAATATTCATTTTGAGCTTTATCCCGTGATAAATTCCTACCTGGCAATAGACGGTGTTTCTTGTGTACTCAACTACAGAAATAATGTCTAAAAACATTATGAAAAGCATAATTCATTCTCAAAACCTACATTTTTTAAATATTATTCAAGACAACGAATGTACCCAGTCAGCCCACAAAATGTCATCATATGAAGTTAACCAAAATGGCTATGGATTGGAATATTTTTATTCTGTGCTAAATTTGGATAACCAAACTAGTTTTTGAAATTTGAATCGACTTTCAATTTATAAAATGGGCATAAAAGTATGGCACAACTAATGTTGAAATCACAATGTCATTGTTTGCAAGGAAATAACTTCAAATACTTTGTCTTTGATACAAAATATCATGAATGTTCGGTGCTTTTAAATTCCTAAATTTTTACTAGTTAGGGTGGTGATCGTCACACAGCAGGTGTTCGAATTTCACGTAAACCAAACCATGTGTTGTGTACATTGCTATGTATCCTATATTCAACAGTATGCAGTTCCTGTGTGGTTTTATATTTCACAAGACAATGCATATCTATTCGTCAACAAAGGTACATCTTGAATTGACCAATACTTTTATTTACATAAATAAAAAGTAGAAATTATGTTAATCACTAAATATCAGGTTTGTAATAGATCATTCTTTAAATTAAATTTCAATAAGAATATCTCTATTTGAAATTTAAAGAGCTGGAAGATTTTACAAACATTTTCAGTTATTTTTATATGCTTAGTGACAATTTTTTAATACATGTTCTTTGCAATTCTTTTACACTATACAGTTTTCATGAACATTTCTTCTCTTCACCCATCAAATTGTTTTAACCCAATTCTTCCAGCCCTCATCCAATTTGCAAATAGGAAACCCTTTAAATGAATTTGGAATTGTCAGTGAAAACTGGAATAGAATTCTTAATTACGTACACAGTTGTGAATAAATATTACATTATATATAATTTTGAAAGATGCTTGATACATGAATTTTTATGTTCATGAGTTGTGTTCTTCAAATGGGGCATTGCACTTGCTTACATTTTGAGCGTATGTGTGTGTGTGCGAATTAACTGGTTAACAAGAACCGGATGTTCCAGTCAAAGATAAATAATGATGTTGTTCGTTGCTATTAAATATACATGTACATCACAAGTTGGTCATGACTGGCGAGCTAAATTTGTTATCAGACATTTATAAACAAATGACAATGTAATATACAGCACAGTAAAAACTTTCCTCTGTCATTTTCCCAAAGATTTGTTAATTTAAGAAAGTTAGATAAATTGAACACTTTGTAACCTAATTTTTACAATGTATTCGGTGTAATATAACATTTCTTTGTTACACCAATTGAGAGTGGTCGTAAATAAAGCCAAGGGGTTGTCACCTGCGTATTGAGAATTGAGTCCCAAGCGACGATAACAACTCGCGCTAAAAACGCAAAGGCTCATGGGTAGACCTTTGTTTTAAACACAGACACACTATGGCCATCTGACACATGTGCAGGTGACAACACCCCCATACAATTTACATTACCCAGTAGTTTACTTTAACTGATTCACAGCAAAATTCACATTTAGACAATTTTAAGTCCAAAGTGTTTTTTGTCCAAAAATTTACAGAACCACTCAAAATTATGAGCTGACATTTTGAATAAATTATCCATTAGAAATTAGTTAGATGTACTCTGGTGTACAATGTACTTTACTTTAGCTAGTGTATGTTGTTTTTATTAATGTACGCCTGGAAAAATAAATAATGAATATGATTTTTAACATTTCCACCATCAGTTTCCTCTTTTCATCACAAATTCACAAAATAGTCCAGTTTATATATAGTCTGCACTTTCTTTCAGAAAATTGGGACAAAAATAGCCAATTTTTTTGAGTAAAAACTGAAAATTGACTCAAATTTTGTCTGCTGGCTCCAAAATAAGGATTCATTTCCAGAAATATTGCAGAATATTAGAAAAAAAGTACAGAGAAATTTGGGTGATTCTGGTGGTGAAAAGGATAAATTACAAGAAATTTTATAAACAACAATATATAAAGCATGTCATTCGTATTAAACTAGCTTGCTACATTGTGTGTGAAATATCATTTCATGTGTAGCCTGCTTTGGCTACTCTCTCAGGTTG